TCCACACACACACACAATTCCAGTGGTATGATTAATTCCAGTCTTGAGAAGGTCTAGTCCGAGTTGGGAGCACCGCGTTTCCCCTTTTATGTTTTTATCTTTTTTTATTCATTTTTTTGTTAGCTTTCGTTTAGGTTTCACTAATTTATATTCTGTAAATGGGAGGTGTAGATGAAGGGTGACGAATAAAAAAGAGCCTGAGCAAACGTTACTAAATGAAGGCCTGAAGGGATGAGTGTGATAAAGTTTATAAAGTAAGATAACGGACATCAGGAGACAGGTTTAGGAATCGAAATATCATCACAGGTTATACATAAATTACACAGATAAAGAAAGCTCCGGGGTTAAGAGACAGGAACAAAAGAGCTGGAAAAAGAAGGGAGGAAGGAGGAACCCATGGAAAAAATAACGGAAATAGGAAAGGAATAAGCAAATGATCGAGGAGATAATCGTGTCCCAAGCCAGAGACTCAAGCTATCAGTGCTTCTCTGCCGACCAAGGGGGTCGTGTTGAGCAAGCGACACAGAGGCAGCACCGCGGGACGACTGCGCGAAAACGAAGTACGCGCGACACGTATTCGCACGTGTTGCCGCGGGATACATGGCTGCCTGTCAACGCACGGGAGAGGCGGCGGATGCACGACCTGAAGGAACGGTGACGAGTATCGGCTGTTGGTCCCCCTCACTCTGTCCTGCCCTCAGAAAGCTCCCTCGGTCCTCAGTCCTCAAGAATCACCGCCACAGCATAGCGCTCGTCTCGCTTCACGGCGAAAGATTCCTCGCTACGGTTCTCGAGAAGACCCGTTAGGACTGAGACTTGTAAGGAGGAGACGGGTCGTTGAACAGCGGCTGCGGCTTGCTGTTCCGCTGCTGCTGCGGGTGCGGCGGGTTGTGGGGCTGCGTGGGAGGCGCGGGAAGCCCGGTGGCAGGGCCCCCGCGCCCGCCGAGTCCGCGCCGCCCAGCCCCGTCTCGAAGGCCGCCGACGGAGGCAGGTGCGGCAGGTGCGCGCCGGGCTGGTTCAGGTACGTCACCACGCGCCGCAGCTCCTCGATGGCGTTGGACTGCATGAGGATGTAATTCTTGGCGAGGAGCAAGGTGGCGATCTTGGAGAGCTTCCTGACGGAGGGAGAGTGAGCGTACGGGATGACAGCGCGCAGGTCGTCCAGTGCGTCGTTCAGGTCGTGCATTCGTCGCCGCTCGCGTGCATTAACAGAAAGTCTCACGTGTTTTTGCTGTCGCACTTTCTTGCCCCCGGGCCCGAGGGACTCGCGCGGTCCGCCCCCGGGGCCGCTTCGCGCGCCGTCGTCGTCGCTGCAAGATCCGCCGGTACCGTCGTCGCGGTGGTCGCGCTCCTCCTTGACCGCGGTGGGCGTGACGCAGCCACCACCGCCGCCCGCCGGGTCCTGGTTCTCGATGTTGCCGCCCATCGAGTGGTCGAGCGCTTGCAGGCCCGCCAGCTCCCGCGGGACAGACACCGCCTCGTCGCGGCCGCCCGCCACGCCCATGTCTCGTGACAGGTCCCGCGCGACCACCTGGCCCCGCGACAGCCCCAGCAGGTCACTTCGCAGGAGCTGCATGGAGTCCTGGGCGGACGGGTGGTCGTCCCGCACGGGCGCGTGGTGGGCGGCGTCGCGCTGGTAGAAGGGGCTGTGCACGTGCGGGTCTTGGTCCGGGCGGCGGCCGGGGTTCAGCTGGGGGGCGTGACGCATGTCGCCGCCCATGAGATGCTGCACGCCCAGCATGGCCGGGTAGGGGAAGGCGCTCATCATGTCTGTGGGCAGAAAAAACAGCAGCTGGTACCTTATGGCTACTGATGACACCATGCGCGGCTTGGATCCCTCGAGGATCGTCTCGCCCGCGCGGAAGGACAAGTGTCAGATGGCTCGTATGTTAGCCAGTCACGAAAATAGCATTAACTGTTGGAACTTCTTAAATAAATCTACTGAAACAAAGAATCTGTCTAACGCAAGCTGCCCAGAAGAGAGAACTTTCATACATCTTGTCGCAAACAAGTTCATGTAAAATAAAAGGGGGACTTCACATCACACAACCTAGAGTTAGGTCTTAAACATAATATACAAATTTAGTTTTTAAACTTCTTAAGCAACAAATCGTCAATATTCGTAAAAATAGTCGTGTTTACATAAAAAAGAATCGTCTCTTCGCCACATGGCAGGATCATTTGTTGGCTTTGATGTCAACGAATCACCGCCACAGCAAAATACAATCCGTAATGAGTATAACGTAATTAGAAACATCTAAGTTAAACAAAAAAACAGAAATATACTTACCTTCGAGTTTGCAATGACCGTGCCCAATGACGTCACAAACAGGTGTAGTAGGAGCGCTGGCGATGCGACAGGAAGGATCCCCGAGCTGAGTCACAGTCTCAGAGGCATCGCAGACGTCCAGGCGCTGCAGACTCTTATTTCCTCGATTGTCACTTGAGATCCAGAAGCACAGACACTCGTTGCCGGTGATGGCAGAGTCACTCGTCACTT